ACTTAACAACCAATCACCAATAGTAATATTAAACAATACAATAAATAAAAAATAACGATGAAAATGGAATGTTACTAAAACCAAGTCTAATATTTTGTTCCAACTAACATACAACCAAACATTTTTTTTACATGCAGTCTATAACTATAAATTTAATTTTAAAAAAGGAATTAGGAGAAAATATAGTACGTTCTACATAATAAATGAGTACTCGATAACTTAAGGGAGCACAGATAACACTTATTGGTACTGGTCAATGCAAAGACTGTATCATCACGTCATCATTCTAAAAACCTGGGTAATTAGTTGTGAATGAAAACGGACCTGATTTTGCTTAAAACAGTATTCTCAAAAGGGTCAACTTTTGAATATACTGTTTCATTTCGTCGCTTCTTGCGGCACCCACGGGATGACATTGGTATAGGGTAATATTCTTACGCCACCACACGGGTAAAATATATATAATCTTAGATATTTTCAACATGAAAAAAAAATGGCAAGAATAAGTTACTTAAAAAGTTACAGCCGATATACGTCCCACTGCTGGGCACAGGCCTCCCCTCATTTCTGAGAGGGTTTTAGGGCAAGGAAATGTCCGTCGCGATGCCCCAATGCGTGTTGGCGAACTTCACATGTCTTCGAAATTTTTTATTTCTCAGACATGCAGGTTTTCTCACGATATTTTCCTTCACCGCCGAGCACGTGATAAATCAGCACATAAAATTGCAACTAACAATTTCATTGGTGCCGGCGGGGATCGAACACGAGTTACTCGCGTACTGTGAAAGAACAATGGCAGACTTTCATACATAAAATTAGTTGAGAAGGAATGGTAGCGTCTATATCTCAAAAATATCTTAAAATGTTAAGCGTCAGTCTCTTAATAACTCTGTCAAAGAATATTGTCCTGAGAAGGCGTCAAAAAAGATATTTAGATTTGAACATTTTTAGGTTATGTCTTATGTCACTTGGTAAAAGTCATGCCTCCTGTGGTTGTTTGATGTTAGCTTAATATATTCTCAACATAATGCACCTATCTACATAATTGAGTTTTTAGATTATTGTATCTCTATTATATATTTGCATACTATAAATGTATATTTCTGGCATGGCTCCAGGGCCTGTCATACAGTGACATTTTCAGAAGGGCTAGAACCCAGAGCCGTAAAGCCGTTAAAAAAGACAGTGACATTTTGTTTTAGCTAGTGTTGCCATAACATTAAATGGAATTATTACATATTACTATGATTGAGATAATGTGTTATTGTAAGAAGATCTTTGTAAGAGACTTATTTTCAACCATATCACTTTTATTTTTTATTATTACTGATAGTATAGTTATTACTAATAATAACTTAATATAAAAATATTTTTTGTTTGTGTTGTGTTGGTATAGTATAGTATGAATAGTAATATCTAATAGTAAATGGCAACACTTGAATAGAGTAAAATGATTTAAGTCATTTGATAGTCCCAAAAATATTTGTTTTTATTCTGTGGCTTTAATTAAAATACATTTTTATTTGAAAAACCACAGAAAAATAAGAAAACTCGTTTTATATATAACTTATTTCTAGACGCAATAATTTTTGTCAACTATTTTTCTGCCATTTTTCTTTACAGCGCGCGCTAACCATCTGAGCTACCACGGCTCTAAATGGCAAAAATAAAGAATTATAATTGCTAAGAGCATCTTACATTAAGTAAACGTAAACAGTAATTAAACTTTAGTTTTAATTTTAAAGATTTCAGATTTTTAAATATTCCTATGAATCATTTTGTTTATTCATAGTAACAAGTCTTAAATATTTAAAATCGTAAAAACGCAATACATATCAAAATATATTTATATTACTACACACAAAAAACTCTTATTTATAAGGTACTTACCTAAATAAACCGAAAACTGTTCCCAATTTTTATCACTTTTACACATACGAATGAATGAAAACGTTCTATACGAATCTACTATAACACTATTAAAACGTATATTCATTTATTGTTTCTCATACATTTAAAAATGGACGGTATTTTTTAATCAAAATAATTTTTCATCAAAATAATAGGAAAAGATAAAACATAATATGATGTATTTTATGTTATATAGTGCCATTTTCTCCGTTCTTTACTTAATGGTACAATTAACACTCACATTTTATAAAATACTAGCAATTTGACGAAAGTTGACTTTATATTAAAAAAAAATCGAAAATACCTGCTTCCGACTACAAAAAATTCAAAAAAACAGATTTTGACAAAAAGATTTATGTTAAGGCCTTAAATCAAAACTTTATATAATAGCTAAATACACATATACTAGACGTAATATCAAAGAAATTATGAGTATTCTTTTTGTTCATTTAAGGCACATTATTTTAATTACAGAACAAATCTTCCCTAAACATTCGAATTTCTAATTATTACTACATATATATTAAAGAACTTTATATGGCAACACAAATTATGTGACATCCATTTTCGTTTATAAAAAGATTAAAAAAATCATCACACAACATTAAGTTATTGTCAAAGACAGCTATTGTTATGGCATACATAAATTATAATACAATTCACACGAAATATTTGAACATACATATATTATTTCTATTTCATTTTTTAATTTGACAGGTGTGGTTTATTTTTAAATTTAATAATGCCGTCATTACGTACTTTCATTGCAAAATGCAATAAACTAAACATATTGCATTTTGGTCTAAATAAATGTTTTACAAAAACTTCGATAAAGTAAATACGTTTTGTGTACAGTGTTCCCATCAAATAACACCCAACTCATCCTGTGATAAATAAACTAACAAATGTTATTATGACTGGTATTCGTGTTAACGACTCCACCAAATCCCAAAGTAAAAATCAAGACTTTCAGAAATATTATGACAAGAACAGAGATAAAATGGTAACAGAAAAAAAATAAAGTCGTTAGTTTTATAACATATAACCGGAAACCATTTGGTTCCCTGCCTTTAAGAACTATAAAATACAAAATGAAACTGTAAATATTATTATATAGAGCAGAAATTCCTTGGAATGCAAAAGTAACCAGGGTTCCGCGAAATCATTTTTTTGTTTGTTAAATAATTTCATACTTTGGTACAAGTATTATTTTGAATTGGCGCAAAATAACCCATTACTGTTCTCGCTAACTACATACGTATCTATATAGATCCGTATGTATGTATGTTAGCGAGAATTATAATATTTCAATTGCACTGTCTATGATATGTAATCATTTGATGTGGGGTTCCATAAAATAAAAGGGATTTGATGTGTTCCAATAACTTAAAGTTTGGGAACCCCTGATATAGAGCATCTAAGCAATAAAAAACCAATAATATATGAGTAATGTAAGTAAGTCCTAATGTAGTTTGTTCAAAATCATACACTGAATTGACTTTTCAATTTGCAAACAAGTTTCTATGATAATATTATTTATATAAAATTAAGCTTTATATACAGGTAATACAACTTACTTTTCTATGCTAGCCTATTGAGTATATAAAATAAAACCTACCCGCATTATTACAAATAGTAGTTAACAGTTAGTCTCAAGTTTAAACAGGTCAGGATTGAGTCAGTTTCTATTAAAAAAGTCCCGTAGAAAACATGCGAACTAAAATGAACGGAATTTGACACTAAATGTAAAATTTCACGAAGACTGCGGCGCCGCGGCTATGGGACCTCTAGTTACAAAGACTCTTCTTATAGTATAGTTTCAACCTGAGACTATCAATAACCCACGTTATATAATAAGACGGTACGAGAAACTTTTACGGCCTTAAATTAAGTATTATTTCTATATCTGTCTCTTTCTATAGTCATTTAGTGAAAAGAGAGCAACTTTAAGCATGGCGTCGTTTATATGAGAAATGCCGTTAATTATTACATCTTCTGTATTGTAACAGTCTTTGAAAATGTTTTACAAAACAAAAAACCTATGAAAATGAATGGCATTTTGTATTTTGGCGTCCAATATGCGTGAAAATTGATTGGAATGAATTATATAATGACAATTTCCTAAAATACGATTGTTCAGGCTTATTATTACATATTATACAACATTTAAATTAACTTTTTGTATCGCTTTTCATTTAAGCCTCCAATGAGCAAGCGTGAGTGAGGGGTCGTGAATTTATTATTGTATATTAAAATAGTAAACACCTTAGTCTCCAGGCCAAATATCCGACATCAAATAGAGACAATTCCCGAGATTCAATTGATAATAATTTATATTCAAGTTTTTTTAAATGTTCTAATTAAATAGTATGTAATAGACTGGTGGAGCTAATAAGAAAATTAAGCCTTTTCTTAAATAATATATAACTTCATTTTATAAAATTGTTGACCATATCATATTCAGCATCCATAAACTATAAACATGCACGTGTGAAGAAGAGGCTCAGTAAAACTACTCATTATCACACCAAATTACCCAAAATCCTTCTAAATCAATAATAAGGCACTTAAGTCGATATATCAAAAATGACCTTTTAATATATGAAATACCCAAATAGGTAATAATATTTTAAATCGAAGGAATCACAGTGAATTTTAATTAAATAATTTTTCATATCAAAAATCCATTAATTTTAACAGCTGCGAATTTACGTTACTTATCGAATAACAACTATTAGAAGTAACATGGTACGAAAGTCAATATTTTTCGATAGATCTTTCAATATTTTAACATTAAAATGACTTTAAAATTAATTTAATCACAATGTTTTTTTTTTTTTAAATACGTTGTTTCTTTATAAAACCTAACAATAACAACGTACAAAAGAAACGCAGTACTAGTCAATATTTACTGAAAGACGTTTTTATATATGAAATTCTCAAGTATGAGAATGGATTTTAAATTGATAGAATCACAATGCCTTATAAAAAAAATGTCTTAATATCAAAACCCTACAATTTGAACAGTTTCGAATTGACATGCCTCTCCTTTTCATGGCTATCGAATAGCAACGTCTCGAAATAACACGCTATTTAACATAGACGGCGGCGACTTCGTTCGCCAGCCCGCACACGTTGTTTCCAATCGCCAGATGTAAATAGCCTCCATTGCCAAACTCTTTGCCCCAAGAGTTCTTTACAATATAATATGGAACCTCGGCCGATAAATCGTAGCCGACTAATTGGACGGCGTGGTTAAGATCGCGCGGTTCACCGCTGTAATTAAACAAATGGTGATTATTTAGATAATATGTTATTATGAATTTATTAAATCATGTTATTCTCATATATATATTTATATAAAACACATAAATATCATTTAAATACATTCGGTTGTTTATACAGAGTTATTTTTCAAAGAGTAGCCTTATTTTAAACTTAAGTTCAAATATATGAATAATGATATACCGTTATTGCAGTATTTGAAAATACGAGTAAATAAGGCTTCTACTTTTATTTGAAATTATCCCAAATTTAATGCGATTTATGGGCAACAACTACGCCTACGCGCGCACCTCTGTATGCGATTCATTCAATTCAAAACGTTTTTTGGCGACCGATCGACCCTTACGAATGTGTGAGTGCGTAGTAAAATAGTAGGCGTTAGATATTTATGCATGACAATCGGTTAAAATAATGCATTACCACGCATTCTGAATTTAAAAGATAAAAAGGGACAGAATGTTTGAGATTTTTTTAAATTAACTTTTCTTCACCATTCATCTATATTACTAATTCTGAACCCTTCTGCAAATTTGGCTGTATAATGCAAAATGACCCTCTATGTGGAGAGTTAAACCAAAGTTTTTTTTAGTTTAAGTGTAGTCATAAATCGTCCCAGTGATGTCGTAAGAGGCAACAAGGGAAACTGAAACACGAAATGGGCAGCAGCATCTCCCTAATAACAACTTAAAATTGCCAACCCGCCAGTCAAGCGTGGCAACTATGGCAAATCCCTCTCTCTCAAGCTATGGAGGCAGCCTGTCTTTTATAATATTTATTTATTTATTTTCAATCTTTATTGCAACACCTATAAGAAAGCATATATAGAATTAAGGCCTATAGGCTTTTTCTAATATTGCTATTAAAAATTGGGGTAATGCTATATTCATTAATATAATATAATAATGTGTACATTCATCAAAATTTATACCTGCAATGATACTGTATGACTCCACCGAGATAGTTCTGCCAAGTGAGGGCATTTACTGCCACAGTGACGGGACCGTGATTTGCTATCGCCTCCAGTATCTTATCCTCGGCGTCCACGTAACTGAAAAATAATTAATTGTCTATGATCTTCATGTCAACACCATGGGGACAACACCAACACAACAATGTGACTCTGCAATGGATCAAGGGACACAGTAGATCAAGGGACACAGTGGATCCAGGTGTAACGACACAGCAGACGAACTGGCCAGGAGAGGATCGGCTATGGCCGTTATAGGACCGGAACCGATCATACCGATCGCTTTTGGTAACATTCGTTCACTGGTACGTAAAAAGTTTACTAATCAACACGTTCAGCTATTGAAAAATCTAGTGGACTGTAGGCAAGCTAACGAGGCCCTCTCAGAAATAAATAGTAGCTTAACCAAGATCTTAATGAGATTGAACAAGCCACAGATCAGGATAGCAACAAGTGCTATTTTAGGACATGGCTCCTTTAACAAACATTTATTTAGGTACTATAGGTGTTACAGATAGTCATACACATATAATCAAGAATATTTAGAAAGTCTGAATCAATTTGATAGGATTATAGAAATTAATGACTTTGCCACCGCTGACTGTGGAGCCACAGGTATGCTTAAAAACCAAACTACTTCACCCAAATCAATATTAAATTTTTTCACCAGATTCTCCTTTTACCTTTGATATTTGACACATTCTGCTAGCATATGTTGGATTTTTTTATAGGATAAGGGTGACAAGCGAGCACACAGTCCACCTGATGGTAAGTAGAACCATCTACATCTATCCTCGTTTGCGAATCAAAATGCAGATGCGTTATAAGCCGTGAGGACTAAGATGGAATGCCTCTTTTCCAGTAAAAAGGGTCTCCGGTTCTCTACGCTTACCAAATAAAACACAGCAGTGTTAAGCTGCTATTTTACGGTGGTATTCTATGAGAGCGTGGTCCTTCTTACACGGTTGAGCTGTTCCGTTCGTGCTACAACTATACTACTAATATAGCTGCAACATGGCTCTACCACACATACTTCTATAATGTGACAAATATCGCAATTGGACGGGCCTGAATTTTGATTCTTAATGGAGGATAGGTATACATAGCCGTCTATGGTCCGCAGCATAAAAAATCAACCCACCGTTTTAAAAAAAAACTCATTTTTATATTTATTCTAAAATAGGAATATTTAAATATGAATTTGAAACGCAGTGTAAAATTAAATAAAAATGAACAGTTTTGCTGACCATACGACCTTTTAATAGGAGAACACGCAACAATTTTAGTTTTATTTATTGACGCTAATTAAATATAAAAGTAAACTCACTCGTTACAAGTAAAACTGTCCACTAGAACACCAGCCGAGCTCGCGTTGGCCCTGCACATCCCATCCCTGAGCTTCAAAGGATAATCGGTGTCGCTTTGCACTGGCGTGTTGGTTATCATCAGCCAGTCGAGTAGTAAGCAGATGTCGCCACCTTCGCAACCGCTATTACCCAGACCGGCGCAGTCAATTGCTTCCTTGAAAACGAGTCAAAAGTATTTATGTACATACAGCAAAGTAGTCATATTTGTTTGAAGAAAAAGAAAGAAGACTTTATAGTATTATGATTAAAATGAGATAAATTCTTTGCCTATGCCAGTATTCACGATGAAGGTTTCGCCTTGATTGTAGTAGTGACGTGACGTTTGTGTGTATAATTGCGATTCGTTCGACTCGCGATCGTGACTGAGCGCTCCCGAGGCCTACGCACACTAATACACTATACAATGTGTATCTGCACGACTAACACAACCAAAGTCAAACCTTCATCGTGAAATAGAATAACTATACCACAAATAATAATTTTCTGTAAATTACTTTATTCATCATCATCATCATTATTGTTATTATCAATACAACATTCAAATTCTACTGCTGAAATTAGGTTTATCAATGATTGCCTGATAGGTGTGTTTGCTATAGTTTCCACACTTAGCAGGTGAGTAGTCAACCGCAGTTTTTTATTTTTTAGTTGGTATTAACAAGAACCTGCTGCCAATGCCCTGGTTCGTTTTTCTCTGTCGCCTGACAACACCTACGGGATGATATGGGGCAGTGTATATTCTTACATCGCCAGTACACGGGCTAGGGCTCAGTATTCGAATATTCGTTTTATTCGAATATTCACTACTACTATTCGAATAATATGTAGAGATTCGAATAATATAAAGAATAAAGAGAAATAGAATTTAATAATAAAAATTTTTCAAAACATGACCGGAGTTAAACAAAAGATATATTTAATTATCACTACTGGCAACACTAGTAACTCTCCGCAACAGAGTCGACATACTTCATTCTCTGCAAACGCGCGCGTAAGAGTTGGCATTTTGAGGTTACGACGATTACATACGGAAAAAGTGCTTCAAAATTATCTTAACTTATCAGCTGCGACATGAAATTGATGATACGTTGATTAATAAGACGACTTCATCCCCTTCATCTACATTTAGGTCTAACGAAGACTTAGAAATTGTAATAGGTGTATAGGTGCGTTCTTATGAGGCTGGAGGTTTAAAAAATGTGCATTTCATGTGGGCATATAATTTTTTGTTAACGATTCTTCCAACTAATGTAGAATCTGAAAGAGTGTTTTCGTTATGTAAGATGACATGCAGCTACCTTCGTGGCGCCTTAACCTCTCAGACCTTGACATATTATTGGACATATTTAGTTAGAACTATGGTCAAGCCAAAGAGTATAGTAGGTCAGGCCAGACGATTTTTAAAAAAAATGGTAAAAATAACTTAGAGTCATTACTATGTTCATATCCAAAAATAAAAAATTATCAACAATTAAAATATCGAATTATTTATATGAAGGTCAAGTGAGCGCTAGAGTGACGACGATTGCAAGACGATTTGTCGATAAATGAAATGTTTCGAGAAATTATCAATTACTGTGTAGTGGCGGTGTATGAATATTCATACTATTCCGTGGGTTTCGTAAGAGGCGACTGATCCACTGTTCAATACAACAAGGTACGTGTACCGTGGAACAGAACGTGGCAACTATGACAAGTATACCCTCTATGAGGAATATAGTGGAGGCCTATGTTCATTGGGGGTTTTTATAGGATGTAACGGTCCATCACCAGCAGTGGAATGAAACTGTAAGGAGAGGGAGGGATTAATTTTATTATTTAAAAAAATATTTTTGTGTTTTTTTTTTATAGAAGAGGGGGCAAACGAGCATGCGGCTCACCTGATGGTAAGTGACTACCGCCGCCCATGAACAACCGCAACACCAGGGGAATTGCAGATGCGTTGCCGGCCGTTTAGAAAGGTGTAAGCTCTTTTCTTGAAGGTCCCTAAGTCGTATCGGTCCGGAAAATCCGCCGGTGGTAAACAATTATGTGTAAAAAAGTCATCAAACAGCATCAAACAATTTATTAAACAAAAGTTGCGTAAACAAGTTCAATGGTTAAAACAATATTAAATAACAAAACCAAACAATTCTACTGAAAAGAAAAAAAAGTAAATATTATTTCACTTTTACAACTATAACATATATATATATATGTGTATGTTAAAATCGAATAAATATTATGAAGAAAGAAACAAGGACATAGAAACACTTGATTTTCATAAACAAAAGAAATATATAATATAATTATATCGATAAACTCAGTAGAAGCCTCAAAAAAAATTAAATCACAGGTATATACTTGTACATCCGTAAGATAGCGTAATAAAGTATATACTTTATTACGCTATCTTTGAGCAACGCCATTTTTCTAACGACTTCAAACAGGAGAAGGAAGTCGACTGTGTTTTTTTATGTGTGTTACCTCATAACCTTCTGGGTGAACTGATTTCGATGATTCTTTTTTTATTTGAAAGCTGGTGCTTCACATTCACATTTTTATTTTTAGTTATTGTTGAAAACAACTTCGCCATAATGTTCACTATATATCGAAATTATAACATAAAACGTAATTTTCGCGCATTGGACTTTGTGGGATATGAAAATTTGTGTTTATTACATGATTTATTGTGATAACTCACACTTTTTATTTACTTTTCAGTTAATTCTGGCTATTAAATATAGTGATACGTGAACGACACAGTATTTGAAATGGCAATTTTATAAAATATATGAAATTGTTACGAAGCAAAATATAAGGAATTAAATTTTAAAACAGTGTAATTACTTACCATTTGTATAAAAACTAACAAAAAACTTTCTATTGTACCCACTTAATTTTTTGTAAAATTTCTAGTTGCCTCTTACACTCACGCGGCGAAGGATATAAGACTAAAGTATGTGACGTAAACGCGACGCGAGGCGGAAACTCGTCATTTGAAGTAAATTCTGTTAATTTAAAGAAGTGTAATTTAATAACGAAACTAATTCTAATAAAATTTTAGTTTTATAGTTCATCTAAATAACATTTAAAAAATAATTGTTATGAGCACAATAACTATGGTTCTGACTAAACGTAGTGTAGTGATCATATACTCTTTGGTTCTGAGGGGTCCTTTCTAAATATTACCATACTCTTTGGAGCGTTCTACAAAGTTGACCTTGGATTGCCTCATGTGTACTTCAAAGGCTTGACAGATTAAATGATGAAACTCTAGACTGTCTTTCATTTATTAGGTCATATTATCAAAGCAAGAAGTAGATAATAACTTTTCGATAAACTTTACTTTTCAATTGTTAAATATTCATAAATAGGTGTATATTGAAGTCAGATAGACCATTTATTTTTTGGTTTGCTAAAAGAAGTCGATTTTATTGTAATTTTAAAATGTTAACTTTATGTGTATGGATAATAATAAAAGAATTTATTTCACTTGTAGCGGGTGGAAGGAAAAGGGGAGATCTCCCGCCAGGCAAAGTGTTCTGCTCGGGTAGCGGCCAATGCTCCGATTGGTAGTTCAGAGCTATTCATATATATGCTGCTTTAACTTCGGAACTTTCTTAGGGCGATTTAGGCTTCGATATGTTTCGATTGTGGCACGACGACAGCGCCGCCACATCACCCCCCCGCTCCGACCGGAGGTCGATAGTGCAGTCTAATAGATTTAATAGAATTGCCTTGTAAGTCTGCGGTGAGTCGAGAATAAGGCAAGTAATCTGCGAAAATGCCGTGAAGCAGAGGCGAGCACTAAGGCTCAGAGCCGCGCCGAACACTGTAGCGCAGAGAGTAGCTTGATGGAACAGGAAGCATTATTATTCCAGTGCTGCGATGAACCTTTTATAAAGCTAGAGATGGCTTGCAGAATGTGAAGACTGCAGACAATATTTGCTCGGGAGCGAATGAATGGGGTACTTGAGGATGATGACGAAGGTTTTGAAGTTGTAGTTTCCGAAGGTTGTTGGTTGCATGTCCATATCACGTCGCGTGGTCACCACTGTGGCGGGTGGAAGGAAAAGGGGAGATCTCCCTCCGGGCAAGGTGTTCTGCCCGGGGAGTGGCCAACGCTCCGAGTGGTAGTTCGGAGCTATTCATATATGTATATGCTGCTTTAACTTCGGAACTTTCTTAGCGCGATTTAGGCTTCAATGCGTTTCGCTTGTGGCGCGACGACAGTGCCGCCACACACTTAATTTATGTCATAGAAGAAAAATTTGTAGAAGTTGATTAGGTTATTTTTTCTCTTAAATTTAACATTTAAGAGAAGCATATTTGTTATTATTTTTGTTACTAAAGTCTACCTCTTAAATCTGATAGTTAGTGATTTATAGCAATAAAAATAAAAAAAACGTTGGTCTAATTTTTCTTTTGAAATTGTCAGTGTGCTATAAAACATCCACGAATTATGTGTAAGTTAAATGATATGCTGTTCCTTAAGTAGAAAGCATTCGAAGAATTCGTAATATTTGAACAATTCGAATAGTATGTCGGGAACTATACGAAATATTCGAATTATTTCCTTGGGGGAGGCCTATGTTCAGCAGTTGACTTATGAAAGGCTGTAATTATGATGATGATGATTAAAATATCCGAAGGTAAAAAAAATTATGCAAAAATTAAACAATATTGAAATGAACGATAGAAAAGCAGGCCAAGTAAGAGTCGGACTCGCGCATGAAGGGTTTGTACCATCGTCAAACACGTTTCTAGTAGGTGAGCCCATTTTAATTTTTAATTTATTTTTATTTTTATTATTTGTTGTTATAGCGGCAACAGAAATACACATGCTGTGAAAATTTCAACCTATTACGAATCTTGAAATACAGCCCGCTGGCTGACAGACAGACAGGCAGACAGACGGAGGGACGGACGGACGGACAGCGGAGGCTTAGTAATAGGGTCCCGTTGGTGACCCTTTGGGTACGGAACCCTAAAAACACATAATATCACATATGTTTAAATTAAATGAGCAAAAAAATGAACATATGGGCTGGTGCTGCAAAATGCCACCTGGCAGCGTTTGACTCAGTGGATAGACGTGCTAAGAGGCTTGATTTGGTTGAAACCAATCTTGTCAGCCTCGAGCACAGGCGCAGAGTAGCCAGTGTCTCGGTATTCTATAGGATGCATTTCAGTGAGTATGCGCATGAATTACACGCCTTAATTCCTCCCTCTCCTTTCCACCATCGGACAACCAGACGGTCGGCGGGTCTTCATCCCTTTGCTGTCGATATTCCACGCATTAGAACCAAAAAATTTGCTTCGTCTTTTTATAAGCATACAGCAAAGGAATGGAATAATTTGCCGGCGTCTATCTTTCCGTCCGAAAAAAATCTCGGCGTCTTCAAGGCAAGAGTGAATAGGCCTTTGTTACGCTAAGACAGTGCGATTTACCATCTGGGGCTGCATCACCACTTACCACCAGGTGGGATTGTGGTCAAGCACTGGCTTATTAAGTTAAAAAAATAACATTTCTCTTTGTATTTAATTAAAATTTCCGTATAATCTGGATCAATATTACATTCTCTTCCTTGTATAAATGCCAACTTAGCCAGTTTATCAGCCTCCTCATTGCCTTATAAACCGATGTCTGATAGTACCCACTACAATACTAAATGACGGTACCGAAGTTTAAATATTTCATTTAATATATTATAGTATGTTATTGATACACTTCTGAGAGCAATATGTTGAAGAGCACTTTTGCTATCAGTTAGTATGACTGTTTTTTTTTTAAATCTGTGGTACTAGCATATAATAGGGCATCATTTATAGCAATTAATTCATCTGACATTATCGTCAAATTATTAGGAAATTTAACAACATCAAGTTGTCTTTGGCTAATCCGGCTCTCTTTTGATAATGAGTCTAATTTAAAAGTACGGTGTTATTAATTGAAACTAATTGATCCTGATATAAAACTCACTTTGAACTCTTTTTTGCAATAAGACTGTTTACCTTTTCTTTCAGAAGTTGCACTGCTGCTAATGGAGAGTAATAGGTAAAATATAATCTATTCTGATAGACTTCTACGCGTATATAATCGCTCAAATGTAAACTATACTTCCGCAATTAATGTTACTACACTAAAATTATTGATGATAGAATATGCAAACGGTAAAATCAAACGGTATAAAGTTGCGCTAGCAAACCAGAAATTCTGAGTTTTTTAAAATTATATAAATAGTTTGTAGAACATTTCATATGTATAATTAACTTTAAAAAAAATCTCGCTGGTTTTCTTGGTGGTGCTTCCCAGGACAGAGCTTTTTCTCTAAATTTCTTCTACCTTTATTTTCGAAAAAGAATTAGGGTTCCGCGTAACATAATTAAAAACCCTAAATTACACGCGGGCGAAGTTGCGGGAACGGCTAGTAACGAATAAAACTGCAGGCAACATTAATTTCTAAACCGGTCTAAATAATCCGGTCTAGACATACTTTCTTTATTTTTTTTATTCTAATACAGTTTCATCCTTCTCTTTTGATTTCGATATTTTAGAAAGTGATTTTATAATTATTTAAAATGCGTTATGGCCAGTTTACATTCTCTTATGTTTAGGAATGTGATTTAGCAGAGTACATTAGTAGAAACGTGTGTACCATAGCTTTTAATTTTAGGACTACTTGCTTTTTGGTACGATTTGTCACCTTTCCACTCCACACAAATAAAATCTGTTTTTTTTCGAATAATACTAAGGCACTCGCACTTAAGTGCTCCTAAGGTTTCCCCATAAACACTAAAAATATGTGAACCGGTTACTATGTACAACTTTACCAAGCAACCGAATACCGAGAATTACTCAGTTTTATATTTGCCTTTCCGAGACATTCGTGAGATTGCTACGTGGTAGAACCATGCTGCTGTATCCTCGACCGGGGAAGGACGAAGCACCACGCTCTCACAGAATACCAGCGTAAAATATCAGCTCAATGCTGCTTTGTTTCGTATGGTGAGTGTAGAGAACCTCAAACTCATTTTACTGGAAACGAAGCATTCCATCATAGTCGCATTTGCATTTGCATTTTGATTCTTAATCGAGGATAAATGTAGATGTCTATGGGTTACAGCATCTACTTACTATCAGGTGGACCGTGTCGTCGTTTGTCACACTTATTCTATAAAAAGTCATTTATTACCGCCTATCAAAATTGAACATAGGCCTCCCCCATATTGCCTCTAGAGGGATATTTGCCATTGTTGTAGGCAACCGCAGTTATTTTTATTATTTGGAGTTGTTATCTATATAAATAAAATGATAGTGTTGCAGTTGTGCGCGCATCACGGAAAAACTACTGGATAGATTCCAATTAGGTTTTCCAAGTTTTATTCCTTAGACACTTGGCCCTTATCTAAAAAAAATTGTTGTGATATCTTTTAATATAAAGTTATTAAAGTTTTAAGATACAACGATTTTTATAAGCACTACGTGTTCAGTGGTGTGTTTTCTTGCCGCGGAGAAGTGAGGCAAGGGGTGTAGTGCACTTGCGTAGGACAGGGGAAGTATCTTCTACCTCTGCCTCATGATAAAGTTAGAGCCAGCCGCGCATTAATTGCGCGAGCGACCTGATACTACAGTTTAACCTTAATCAATTGCCCCCGTAGTTTCCTATAGTTTTCTCAGTAATTTTTCTACTAATTTTCATACAATTCGTTTTCTTCCAGTCGTATTATATTACACACACACACACACACACACACACACACACATATATTAAATCTTTATTAATATATCAAGCAACGCGGACGAAGTTGCGGATATCATCAGTTAGTCAGAAATATGCTGCTGCCCTGATCATCTGTTTCATTTTCCTTTTGTAGCCTCTAACGACACCCATGCGATTATATTGAGAGAGATATTACGCGTAATTACAAGAAAAGAGCCTACTCCTTTCTAAAAGGCCAGCAAGGCATCTGCAATTTTTCTGATGTTGCAGTTGTTCATGGGCGGCGGTAGTCACTTACCATCAGGTGAGCCGCATGCTCGTTTGCCCCCTCTCATATATGTATATAAAAAAAATAAAGTATTGCCGAGCATCTCCGTTTCACATACAATAATTATATCCTAACACAAATCTGTTTTTTTATATATTATATTTTAGTATAAGGTATATGAGGACCAATGTTCTTAATTTTTAAGTCCTCGCTAATATAGATACTTAGCCTGATAGATATTTAAATATTTAGCCTGAAATAAAGTCTGTAATGAATTTATTCTCTTACCTGCACGCTAAGGGATTTAAGTGTACCACTGTTCATAGCTGCCATCGACTCTATGATACCGACTGTGCTAAAAGCCCAGCAGGCACCGCAGAGACCCTGATCCCGGACTGGGCCTACGACACCCTTCGTCCTCCTGCAAATGAAAAGTACAATTTAATAGTTCAGTTCAGTTTTATGGGTAATTTACGTGGCCTTGATTGATGTATTGAGATAGCAGCATAAATGGATCGACTTCACCGGAGAAGGACCACGCTCGAACAGAAGACGAACGTGAAACAGCATCTTAATGTTGCTAGAAGAAGTGGGAAGATTATTGAGATTCCTACACTTCTGAAACTTTTACTTCCACTTTAAACAAAGTGCTGGTAAAAAGCGTGTTTATAATACAAATTATTCGCTCGGTTCCTTAAGTCGATTTAAAGTAAGTTCTTGTTTTGTTCTATAAATTGTTCGTGCACTTTTTGCACTGGAGAACGAATCGTTCAATCGACAATCATAAAAATAGAATCATTTGTTTTTATATAGAAATTAGGCACGTTAATCTAAAAATAAGGTTCTTTGAATTCGCTGTTAAATGTATACGCTACAATAACGTATCGACATTATGTAATTATGCAAATAAGCTGACCGCATTTTAATGTAAACTAGTTTACAGAGACATTATATTTACTTGATTGGATTAAAATGACCCAGAGACTCACAATTCTTGGTATGCAACCTATTAGACTTAAGCAACTAATGTATTTAACACTATTAGGGTCAAATAAATATGACTTATTTTTCGTCCTCCTGCAAATGAAAACGACAAGTTAATAGTTCAGTTTTACAGGTAATTTACGCGCCCGTGATAGATGCATTGAGATTGCAGCATAAATGGATCGACTCGACCGGAGAACGACCACAAATATATATAAAATGAAATAGCAAGCAATGAAGCTACATTGCACTTGCACTGCACGAAATTTAATCTGTAATACATCCCCACGTAGGTCCTCTTTATTACGTATGATGCACTCGTACGATGAGAATTTTAATGATATCGATATCAATGTCACTGAACGAGATAATTATAAGAGGATTGTCACTGAAAAACTTAAGCAAGTAGTCATTGAGTAGATAGTGGAATATATGACACGACTATTTTAAAAAAAAACTAATGAGCAGTGGTGTCATATTTCCTACCATAACCCTACAATGTTTGTTAGTCGATACTGTGTGTAAACTTTAATAAAAAGATATTGTCAATGTCTAGGTATACTTTGTAACAAGCTTCATCTATTTTTAAAAATTGTAATACCTACTTAAGTTAGTGACCAGCGTTGCTGAGTTCATAATAATAAAAAATGTGCAGTAATTACATTTGATAATAATTGTGAACTTGTTTGTGGTCCGAAGTTTAATAAATTGAAACAAAATTTAATATGAAAGTTAGATACAATTTTAGGCGACAAAACATTGGAATCTCGATTTTTGGGCGCTAGTAGAACATACCTGCGCGCTTTGCGCTTAAGGCATGCAAAACACATCTTGTTAATGCATTTTATATAAATAGGAACAACAGTATCTTATAATAGTAGGTATTTGAGTCGGACTTTGGAAGCTCCATACAAACGTTTCTTGCTGCAGCCCAGATTTATTGTGCTATATTACGCTATAGCTACGAATAAACATCCTTTCTTTCTATCCATCATTTCATCCTGTTGCGGCAAATGCCATGTGGTGCCGATGTAAAAAATTCATCATTCAATTCATAATTCCATCCAATTTTGTCGCATGGGTATACGGTTTGTCCCATGGGTATTTGGAAACTACATCGTTTACTTCAGATGGCAAACGTACCTAATATATCAAGACTAGGAAGTACCAACGGTGTGAGATGTCTATTTTATAAAATAAGGGTGAGTAACGAGCACACAGTCCACCAGATGGTAAGTGGATGCTGTGGCCCACAGACATCTACATTTATCCTCAATTAAGAATCAAAAAGCAGATGCGTTGTCACCCCTGAGGACTGAGATGTTATGCCTCGTTTCCAATAAAAAGGCTCTCCGGTTCTCTGCACTCACCATACGAAACACAGCAGCATTAAGCTGCTATTTGACGCTGGTATTCTGTGAGAGCGTGTTCATACCCCGGACGAGCCGACCCATTCGTGCTGCAACCACATTATAAGCTGCAGCATGGCTGCAACATTTTGGTACTGCGATCATCAATACACCTTCCAAATCTCCAAATCTTATCTACATAGGAGTCTACTAGGTCGATTCGCCTAGGGAATCTCACAAAATACCATTATAATGCTGCTGTTACCAGTAAAAATATCAAAAAATCCAAAAAAAAAATATAACTATTACCGAATAATTTTGATATACCGTGAAAGTTCTAAATATAGAGATAAAGATACATATTTTTATTTTCAGAATTCTTACGAACAGAATTAACTATGATAAGACTAAGTCAAATTCGAAACTTTTATTCAACTGAGGTTTGTTTAAGTCTATTAAAAATTGTGAACGTCAAAATCTACACCGGTTTGCAAAAACAAGAACTTTTATTAAATAATTTACAATAATTACAAATTGTAATACAACGTCAAAGGTCAATAGATATTTTTGAAAAGTGAATTTTAACTTTTAACAAAAAATAACATAAGTATCAAACTATAAAGAGCAAGTGCATAATAGCAAATGATAAGAGTTATTTCCACAGATCATTGTCCTCATTTATCTACATTATAGGTGGTAGGCTTTTTTAACAAAATTTGCTTAAGAAGCTTTTTTTTAAATTGTGTATCTTATTGTTGCACTACATTTTTAGAAATTTTATCATAAAATTAGATTTTTTTACTCATAAAAGATTAGTTTTAGCTAATCTAAATTTAGGAACCTCTGACGTATATTTTCAATGCAAGACTAGGCACAAGAGAAAACAGTGAGCTTGAGGTAGGGAAATTTGAAATAGGGCAGCGGAACCCAAGGCGCCAGCAGCTGGCCGACTTCATGGAGAAAGAGGAACTCTTTATGATGAACATTTTTCCAGAAGCGGCCCCACAGAAAGTGGACCTGGTCAAGTCCTGACAATTCGACAAAAATGAGATTGACTTCATTATGACTAGACGTCAACTGTTTAGTGATGTCTCAGTGATCGCGAGGGTGAAAACTGGCAGCGATCACATAATGGTGAGAGGCACACTGAACCTAAATGGCAAGTTGTAGAGGTCACGTCTAATGAAGTCAAGGGTTCCAGTCTCTGCTAGATTTGTGTGCCAGAAAGAGCCAAAAAAGTCGAAGCTGAAGACCGAGTTTGGCAGCATCGTTTCCGCGACACCTGCGATTTTGAGTGAGATTGAGAGGTTTTATGGACAGCATCGTCATCATCGCCACATGCAAAAATGAGTTACGATCCAAGAGCAAGTCTTATGCGACACTATTCTGATGATATCCTGGACGTCAGTCTGAGCGGGATTAAATGGCTCTCCAGCAAATTAAAAACGGCAAGGCCCCAGACGAGAATGTAATTACAGCAGAGCTTCTGAAAGCGGATGGAAAACAGGTGCTTTAAGACCTTTAGAAGCTCTCTTTTCCTTCTGAATTTCGTCCTTCATGGTAGGACTACTCCGGAGGCGTGGAGCAGAAGTGGGGTGGTCTTGTTTTTCAAAAAAGGCAACAACGCTCTCTCGAAGAACTACAGAACGATTTCCCTTCTGAGCCTCGTTCACATGCTGTTTTCGAGAGTCATTAAGAATTGTCTCGCTCGTAGTTTGGACGACTTCCAGCCTCCTGAACAAGCCGGTTTCCGAAAAGCCTTTAATACCATGGACCATATACATACCCTTCGGCAAATTGGACAGAATACCGAAGAGTACACTACCACTTTGCCTTGCGTATGTGGACTATGAGAAAGCCTTTGATTCCGTCGAAATTTGGGCGGTGCTGCAATCCTTTCAGCGATGCCAAGTTGACTGTCGGTATATCGAAGTGCTGAAATGCTTGTACAGTAGGGTAGGGTAGTACAGAACCAGACTACGAAACCCATCCAACTGCAGAGAGGTGTAAGACAGGGTGAAATTATATCCCTGAATCTCTTCACCACTGCATTGAAAGATAATTTCAAGCTACTGGACTGGAAAGGAAACGGCATTAACATCAATGGCGAGTACATCATTCATCTTCGATTTGCCGACTATATAGATTTTATGGCAGAATCGCTGGAGGACCTTAGAATTATGCTCAATTACCTCAACGGTGCGTCATGTCAAACATTAAAATTGAGTAGCGTTTAAGTATTTGGCCACACGAGTATCAAAATATGTGACATAGATGGCCATAGCTTTTGATTGCATTAACTTTGAAGTTTAAATTTTTTACACCTACAAGGGAACATAGGAATTTTGTATTTGATATTAATTTTAACTTGATACTATAAAGGTTCCTAACACACTGGACATATGGACAACAAAGTGATCTTATAAGGGTTTCATCATTTTTCCTTATAAGGTACAGAACCCTAAAAAGAAAAGTTACAGCTTATATACTAATCCCACTAGGCTGGGCACAGGCCTCTTTTTATTTCTGGTTTATGGAGTGATTAGTCCACCTCCTAACTCCAGTGCAAACTTCACATGTCTACAAAAAATCCTCAGACATACTTTCATCACAATGTTTTACTTTACCCCCAAGCATGTGGTCAATGGTGAGACTAAACGAAATTAAGAAGAGTTAAAAACAAATTTATATGTAATGGACCTAAAGATCAGTGACTTTTTATCTATTGTGTTTACTTATTACAACATTAACTTGTAAAAAATAAGAGATATAAAAATTTCATTTATACGGTACATGAAATAGTATGAATTATATCGCCTACCCTAATAAGAAATAGAGGGATAGCTTCAATACACAGTGGCTATCTTTAGGTTGTAGTGCTGCAAGACCGCAGGTTCGAATCTCACACGGAACAAGTGTTTGTATGGCCTACAAGTAATTGATTTAGGTATGAATGTGTGTCCTTGTGCAACATATGTTTGTAAACTGCCTCCACTATACGAGAAAAAATCTAGTTGGAGTAACATTATTAAATAAAATAAATGGCTGATGAAAAAAACTGACATGGAATACAGAGTGTGCAAGTACCACCAAGATAACTGAGGTGAAGCCAATGCTTCAAATCTACCCCTTCGTACTTTACCTGTTTCAGGGTGCCCCGAAAAATAAATGGTATAACAAACTAACAGATATTCATTTTTGTCAGAAACATTCACGGTCACACTCACGACAACTCATCAAAGTTTCATCATAACCAAATAAGTAATATAAAACACATAGAAGACAAATAAACAAAACAAAAGTTTGCTTTTATACATTTGATACAGGTCAAATAACAGGACATATTTTCTAGCTTTTAAAATGAGCCAGCACCTGATCAATATTGGATCATTTCGACTGTCCACAAAAATGAGTTAGTTAGTGAAGAACCCAGGTAAAAAAATAAAAATGATTTTAAAATTTTATAAGTAATAAATTAATTTATAATTATTACAAGAAATCACTGCCATTTATGTTAGCAATAAACCTATCCAATACTGACATAAAACAATATGATTACCATGATTATAGAAAAAGATCCATAAAGATGTTCAACCAGTTAGTTGAGAATAAAAATACACTTACCAATCAACTTTTAAGGGCAAAGAGGCCCTTCGCCTTCTGATTATAATGTAAATGTTGTCGTGAGGTGAATTACCAGAGGAGTCATCATTTTTAGAAATATCAATGTCGACTAAGCTTCTAGTATGTTTATGTCCTTTGTGATGGGTCTTATTTTGTATGTTTTCTCTCTTATGAGGCTGCTCATCAGAGAGATGAATATCCCTGTATTCAGCCTTAGACATATCAGACAATTTCGTCAGACCGTATCGAGCTTTGTGCTCGTCAGGACCTCTAGCTTGCGAGTTAAGAACTTCTATTTCTCTTACAGAAGCCTTAAAAAGGTCAAAAAATTGTTATTACAAATTAATTCTTTTCTATTTGTGAATACTTAAAAACATTTTTGTACATCTTACCACGAAGTAATTAAATCTTGTTTCATATTCTTCTGTATTGTTTTTATAAGTTTTGTTAAACTTTTGGATATAATCATCAAACATAGATTTCAATTTTTCTCGGCTATCACCGGTATAAGTTAGAGGTATCGCGATAAATAATAAACAAAATAACGCTATTCCTAAAAGCCAATTCCACCATTTCTTCATTATTTAAATAAATTACAATAAAATTAAACTTGTAATACGTCCACTAACTTGCTTCGCCCACTTAACTTTAATAAATAAATAAATATATCTATATAATATTTTATAGCAAACAAGTTTGACAGTTATTGTCACATCTCTATGTGTCACATTGATTGACTTGACATAATAACATAATGGCCCCTCTTCACGTTGGCCAACACAGTGGCGAATGTGTTGGCAGAGTTATTGGCCAAGAAATTGGGATCGCGTCCACACGTTGGAAGGTCGTTCAGTTTGCTTCGGTTCAGGCCAATGTGCGGACGAATTTATTAAAATGATTATTGATGCGCTAACGGCTGCTGCGGTTTATTTATTCACAGCACACCACTATTTTTTTATTTAATTTTCACTATTTTTAATATTTAATATTTTTAATATAAATTTTTAATATTTCTTTATTATACACTAACATTATACAGATAAGTGAACTATATAAACATTAACACACCTAGGCATAGATATAATTAACTCTTTTACAACTAAGGCCTGGAAAATATTCGAAGCCTGTCTATGAAACTGTTGTCAAATTTTATTAAACAAAACCTTTTTAAAAAGCGTTATTCTTATTATATAATTATAGAATAAAACTTAATAATAATAATAATAAATTTATTTCGTCAAACATTAAAGTTACATTATATGATCAGTGATCGAGGTCACCTAGTAAGCAAAATAATGCCTGTAACAGGTGACTTCGCTCTTCCATAGCTAAAAATTCAGTATTATTAACGAAATAAAGTAACTAATAGGGAATAATAAAGACAGTAAAAACATGATTTTAGTATCCTACTTTTTAATTTGATTTTAATATATATTATATATTACAGATTTTAAGATATTTAATAAATCAATTAATACATCAATAAATAAATTAATACATCAATCACTACAACGTGAATGTGTATAAGATAAGGGTGATCAAAAAGAAATGGAAAAAAGAAATTTTATTTCTTGACGGCTCCGTGGCGTAGTGACTTAGCAATGAGTTGCTGCCCTAGGGGCCGCGGGTTCGAATCCCGCACGGAACAAGTATTTGTATAGCCTGCACATAATTTCTCCGGGTCTGGATGTTTGTCCTTATGCAATTTATGTTTCTAAACTGCCTCCACGATACAGGAGAAAATCCTAATGTATAATAATATTTTTTTTTTAAAAAGACTTGTGTTTTACAAACAATTTTCGGCTTAGTAGGGCTCTATAAAGCGAAAAGTTTTTTCATTGGTCATTGTTACTGCCGTTATGTAGACACTATTGCGTGCATATAAAATTAAAACAGGTGCGTGCATTCACTCTGGGAGCTCGTAGCAAACTGAACGTGCGGCCAACGTGTGGACGCGGCGGCCAATACTCTGCCACAGCCCTTTGATCTTTTGTAAAAAACCGACACCAGACGGATCTCGCGCCAACTTGTGGGCCATCGTTCCAATACGTACCAACGTAGCTTAAACACCCGCTCTACACGATGGCCATCGTTGTTGGCCAACACATTGGCCAGCGTGTTGGCCAACGTGAAGAGCCGCCGTAATATGTACATTTTACTTTTTTCCTTTGATTATGGACTCGCAATGTTATATTTTTGCCAGACATACAAGCAAGACTAATATTATGATGCTTACACATGCAAGAAATAACAATGTAATGTCAAGTAATAAGAGTTAGATTAATAGGTAATTAATAAGCTGTGTTAATATGTTGTTGATGCATCACAGTCGATGACAAAGGTATTTGAAGTTCTTAAGGCGCTTAAGCAAACGAAATAACTTGAGGCATCTGAGCACTTGTTCTTTCGGTTGTATTCACCTAATAACAATTATTGTATTACATACAAAAAGAAGCAGAAATATAATGTTAGCGCTTGCGTAGTGAATACTCGAAAACGTCCTAATTGGGATGTTTATCTTTAATTCGCGGTAACGAGGAAGACACTGTATAGAAAAGGGTTGGCTTTAGTAATGTGCGGCACGATTTAAGTGATAATTTTAGCTTTAGTTGACAGGCAATGATGCCATTGATTACCATCTAGCTGCTTTTTATGCCGGAAATCTTTAGTTTTCGAGATATCGATAATTATAGTTTTGAGGTATATAACCATTTAAAAATGATACGAAAACGAAATAACAATATAATTATTAGAAAGAGATAGCAATAGTATGGTTTGTATGATGTTTATAGTGCTACCCTACTCTCTAACATACGATATTAAACAACGGTTGTTGCATGAAGCCCAACATGAAAAAAAAGTATAAAATCACAAAACCGAATCTGTAAACCCCGAATTCCACGTGGTCTTTCCGCTCTTACCCCTAGAGTGTATATGAAAACCCGGAAGCGCGGAGGGAAAGCAGCCCTCGCCCGCTGTAAGTGCAGGCAACGTAAGAGCCGTAGCGTCTGCGGCTGGTCGCCGAAGGCGACCAAACAGCCGAAGCTGTGCAGGTTGAAGCAAAATCAAAATAGTGTTAATTCTCACGGTTTTTTCCCACCCTGAAAACTCCCACATTCCCACCGGGACCCGAATGTAATTTTTTTGCCGGACGACCTTTTTTTTAATAAGCGAAAGCAAGTTTGCCTTAATATGTAACAAAACTTTAAAAATTCATGAAAAAAGGGGGGGTACCGGCACTTCCCCCTTTTAGGGGGAGGTTCCCACCCATCCCCCGCCCACTCGGCGACCATATATTCACGCCGCAGATTACTAAAGAAATACCGGCGTGTCATCTTTGGCAAAATAATTATGCAGTCTATGGGGGAGAGGCTTTGTTTTTTACCAGCAGAAATTTATAGGCTGTAAGGATGGATGGTGAGTGTAGAGAACTGGACGTTTTTTACTGGAAACGAGGCATTCAGTCTTAATCCTCAGGGTAAAAATGCATTTGCATTTCGATTCTGGATTGAGGACACATGTGGATGTCTATGGGCCGCAGCATCTACTTATCTTCAAGCTGACGGTGTGCTTGTTTGTCACCTATATTCTTTGAAAAAAAAAATCAACCACTAGATTAGTGCGTATAACAATTTTATTACAATCGATTACGCCATTCTGAAAAACAAAAATAGCTCGGATGGACACACTGACACAAAACTTTAAAAATGTTTGATTCAGTCTTAATAACATTCAAGTAGCCCCCCCCCCCCCCCCTCCCAGCTTAAACCTTTCGCTGTCCGTGCACTACATATAGGTCATTGCTATTGTGTCTAAAAACCGGACAGTGAGTGTTAATCAAGGAGGTTATAATATATTATATTATAACCTCCTTGGTGTTAAGAAGCCAATTATTTCAATATTACAATCACAGCCACTTATAACAATAATAACCTATAGTAGACGTGCAATCATCAGGCCCGTGACAGCTTAGTTCCATTCTATGCAACTTGGCGCTACCGTCGCAATTTGTTCTCTGGCTACGGACGCCATTTTAAAACGCCATATTGTGTTAATGGCAAATCAAATTGACAAAATTCAAAATTATCGATATTGATTCTGAGTTTAGCGCAAATGTATTTCCTCGCATTTATGTTGCATTGACATCTTGGACGCAAAGTTTCCTCCGTTATTTGTGAAAATAACAATACTCCGTTTTTGTGCTGGTCGTGTGCATATTGTATACTATGATACTATCTTAACGGAATACCAAAAGTGCTATGTTGGTGCAGATTCCCTAAAAACGATAATTTAAGAAACTTGTGGATGTATTTCATAGTATTCACAAATTCCTAGATCATTGAACTTCCCAAAGAACGTTTCTTGACTAGGCAGAAAACTTCGATAGGTACTCTTATCCATGCTTGCTTACTAACGATTAAATAGCTCATGGCGTGCCTCTGACTGCAACAGGCGAGTATATTTATTACTTATCATGGTACTTAAGTTTCGGCTGCTGAAAGTTGTGATTTCTAAGTAGGTATCAAGTGGACTCCAGTAATGAAGTATTGAACCATACATTTTGAATAAAAAACATTGCATCACTTTGTGATTATTTCACCAAACATTTTTAATTATAACTACATAGTATAAAGTGGCAGTCACTTAATAAAATTGTGTCTGTAACTATGGAAAGACAAAAAATTATATAGATATTTGCTATGAAAATGTATAGTTATAAAAATATCACTAGAACAAAGCTTGCAAAAAAGCAACAATTTATTACAAATTTTCAAAGATGCCGCTTGAATATGGTTTAATTTTTAGTTTTGTTTTAATAAATAATGATGTAATTGACATCTTCTGATCACAACACTTTTTACATTTATAAATTTTTTACAGTATATTTTATTTCACTTTCCTTATTTTAAGGTTATTGAAATATTCAAGATTTATTAAATCACTAATGTCCAAAATGCTTATATAGATCTGCTTTTCGGCTGGTACTGGATGGCAGGAGCTCGTACTATCTGGGAATCTCATTAAAGCATTCATACAAGCATCTTCAACTTGTGCAAGTTGTGACTTGTCGTCATAGTGCAGGAACATAGGGCCTTGTAATTGCAAGACTGAGTGAGCGAGACCATTTCAGAACCTTTTACTTGTAGTTATGGGTATTAAAGAATTAAAATTATAGTTTAGAGGGAGTGGTAACAGGATGGCTGTATAGTATTTATTTCTAAAACAAATGTTATTTGACTTCCCTTAATTTTATACATTATTCTATTTTTACTTAGTTGTTATAGCTTATGGGGTATATAAATTTATTTGTTAACTCTACTGATTTTAATGATTTTAACAATTCTTCAATATCTACAAGTAAAATTCCTAATTTACTAAAGATTACAGAAGTTTCGATTTCATTCCATCTAGTGTAGATTGATTGGAAATTGTGTAAAAATAAATCAATCATTATTCCCTTCATACATGCTCTACGGTTTAGGGTACTCTTGACCTGGCCTTATAAAAACGAATTCTGAAATATTTAATGATTATTTAATAATTGACAATAAAATTATACAATTTCATCAGACAGCTTTAC